TTATGTATATAATGTGTCATTAATTATCTTGATTCAGAATAAAAAATGTAAAATAAAGAAAGTCGAGTGGCATCTGATTTTCTTGGTTATTAAGGCGTTTAATTTTGGCAGGGTACAATAATTATTGAATGAAGGTAGGACAAAAACCGAGTGGGTCAACTTTTTTTTGACAGGCCACAAGTTCATGATGGGCGCACTTTGAATTTAATTAAGTTTGAAAAAAAAAAATATTGTGAAATAATGTGGTCCTCATAACTTTAGGAGATTCCCTAAATGGCACTTTCATAATTCACGTACATGTTAAATTCAATGAATCATAATATTGGAATGCCAAATTCATGCAACATTTTTTCAATTTTGTGTTGGTATAAAAATTAGAGATTTAAATATTGAATTATTGTTTAGTTTATTTGGATTTTAATATAAAATTTACAAATTTTAAATGTAAGGATAACAAATTGCTCAATCACCCATTTAGTATATTTTAAAACTAATCAAGCTACGGCTAATTAATAAATAATTTTAATATTTTATTTTTCTAAAGAGAGTGTACGAAAAAAATAATTTTAACGTTTGAAAAGTATTTTGCTTAATTATAAATTGTACTTAATAAAAAAATTAAATTTAAAATTTTTGATGATTAAATTCAATAAGCTACATGCTTAGAAATTATGTCCCTTAAATTATTTTAAAAATTTTCTAATTACGTATGTTCTCATCGCAGTCATCCGTCACCTGCTCCCCTCTGGTTTGAGAGGCCGGGTTTCTGGGTTGTGATTTTCGGGTACGGGTTTGATTTGGGCCCCATATCAGTTTACTACACCATAACTTCTCTCTATAAACGCACTTCCCGTATGCCGCCAGAGTGATACTGGTCTACTATCAGTCTATTTCCCGGTACTAAACCCTTGCTTCATTTCTGATTTTGGCGGGAGGGAGGACAACGAAACCATTCAATACTCCAATTGCAGAGAGAGAGAGAGAGAGAGAGAGATATGGCAGAGGACGGGTATGAACCGAGCGCGGATCAGGTGGAGGAGGAATTCGCGGTTTGGAAGAAGAACACACCTTTCCTATACGATCTGGTGATATCTCACCCTCTCGAGTGGCCATCGCTTACTGTCCACTGGGTCCCTTCGCCTCCGCAGCCGTACGCTGTCGACTCATCTTTCTCTGTCCACAAGCTCGTGCTCGGAACCCACACATCCGGCGGAGCTTCAGATTTCCTCATGGTCGCTGACGCTCTTATCCCTACCCAGGAAGCTGAACCCAACATCGGCGGCAAAAGCGAGGATCAAATTGTCCCCAAGGTATGCTGTATTTTGCTTGTTCGATTGATTACTAGCTGAAATGATTGCTGCTTGTTACTGTTATAGGATCTTGAATTATTTTGAGAATTGTTTTACGGGTATTAGGTTTTGGCTGAAACTCGGGAATGAGAATAACGTCTTCTTTTTCGGTTTTATTTTTAGTTTCTAAATTAGTTAGCATCAGAACTACTAAGGTATATTAGGACGAATGAACTACTTTTGTGGAATTCAATTGGAAATGATAAGGTTTTTGGCAGGTAGAGATAAAACAAAAGATACGTGTTGATGGGGAAGTGAATAGAGCGAGGTGTATGCCACAGAATCCAGCTCTTATTGGTGCCAAGACAAGTGGTTGCGAAGTGTTAGTGTTTGATTACGTGAAGCAGGCAACGAAACAACCGGGAGGTGAATGTGATCCTGATTTGAGGTTGAGGGGTCATGATAAGGAAGGATATGGGTTGTCCTGGAGTCCCTTTAAGGAGGGTTATCTTCTGAGTGGTTCACAAGATCATAAGATATGCCTCTGGGATGTGTCTGCTGTAGCTCAGAATAAGATTCTCGATGCACTTCATGTTTATCAGGTAATAATAAAGAATATCTGTCTGTGCTCTGCCTTCCAAATGAAATTCTAGTGTTTTTAATGTGACAACTTTGGTGTTTTGATCATGGAATTTGTGTCCTTGTAGGCCCATGAAACTGTAGTTGAAGATGTAACATGGCATATGAAAAATGAAAACATATTTGGATCAGCAGGTGATGATTGTCAAGTGATGATTTGGGACTTGCGAACAAATCAAATAGAACACCGTGTCAAAGTTCATGAGAGAGAGGTGAGCAATCTTGAAGCATTCCAGTTATACAAGTGCTGCATTTTCAATGCCCTTCTTTTATTCCTTATAAGAAGAAATTTTCCTTATTGAGATGGATATAAAAATGAGATGGTAAATGACTAGGGAAAACATAGGAGAGTTCTAAGCAGCTTTTAAAATAAGCAGCATGCAAAATGGGACAATTCATAATTTGTTCAAGAGAGATAACGGAAAGAATGGTGAATAAATTTGAGTTAGGGCCTTAGCATGCTTTAACGGTGAGGAATAGCTGATAACAGTATGACTAGAGATTATAATTTGAAGGATGTAAATAATCAGATAAGTGAATAAGATCTAATAATCTGCTTTTATCGCATGATAGTTACCGAATGCCTCTTATTTTGGACACGTAAATCTGCTGGGTTGTGGTGATTGGTAGCTGGAAATTAATGATTAAGTTTTTAGACAGAGTTGCTAGGCTGGTGAGGCATTAGCAAGTAGGGGAATGTTGGATCTTTTCCATCATGGAGTCTTGTCTAAATTTAAGATGGATAATAATGTTGGTATATGCATGCATGTTTTATCTGCAGTTTTGCTTGTTTGAAATCCTGTTTGGTCTTCCAGTTTGGGGAAGGATTGGCCTTGTATTAGGGAGTAGAATAATAATTTTGTGTTTTCTCCATTTCTTTATTTGTTAAGTTATATTTCTTTTACCTGGGAAAGCCATTTGGCAATGTGAAAATATTTTTTAGTTTTGTTATGCATTTATACGCTCGTCGGTTCATGTAAGTATGTAAGAGTTGTATATTTAAGGAATTATTGAAGCTCAAACAAAATAGTTTTTTTAGAGAAAACTAAAGTAAAAGCAATATCTTAAAAAATTTAGAATACCTCAAGAAAAAGAAGAAATGAGACTAAAGAATGTTTTTATGTACTAATTGGAGCTAACTGTTTACTTTGTTTTGTGCCATGTTCATTTCATTTACATAAATGAATATTGTGGTATTGTTGCTGATGGGAAATGTTCTTATTTTATTTTAATGTTTACAGGTTAACTATATATCTTTCAATCCTTATAACGAATGGGTTCTAGCCACAGCATCTTCAGACTCTACTGTTGGCCTGTTTGATATTCGGAAGTTGGCTGTGCCACTGCATGTTTTGACTAGTCATGAGTATGTCTCTTGCTTTGCAAAATAGAATTTGCAACTTAGTTGAAATAATTGAAATATCATTAATTTGTATGACTACAAGTTTTGGTGCTTCCATGAAGACATTTATGAGTCTGCATGAAATTACGATTCCCCATTGTATTGGATGAGATAGTGATTCTTCTAATTACTAGATGTTGTTTAATGAATTTTTAATTCTGAAAGCTGATATTTTAAAATTGGCAAAATTATTTTTCTCACTCTGGATTGTTTGTCTTCAGAGGAGAGGTGTTCCAGGTGGAGTGGGATCCTAATCATGAAACTGTTCTAGCATCATCTGGTGATGATCGTAGGTTGATGGTCTGGGATCTTAACAGGTATTTATCTTGCTAGGAAGAGACATAATTCACCTTTGAGATGTTTTTTAATTAAAAGTCACTACATATTTATATATTAATTACCATGTCCCGAAGTCGGACATATTACAAAGAAGTGAAAATGCACCATGATCAAATGAGTATTGTGAATTCATTTCAGGATTGGGGAAGAGCAGCTGGAGATGGAGCTAGATGCCGAAGATGGCCCTCCGGAGCTTCTATTCTCTCATGGAGGTCACAAGGCTAAGATATCCGACTTCGCATGGAACAAAAATGAGCCATGGGTGATCTCAAGCGTGGCCGAAGATAATAGTCTTCAGGTGTGGCAGATGGCCGAGAGCATCTACCGAGATGACGATGATGATGTGCAAGCTGAGGATGACTAATTCATAGTTGGCTTACAGTGATCATGGTTAGGGTTGTTTTTTAAGTTTTCTGTAACAAATTTATTGTCTGATTGTGAGTCTTTATCATAGAAGGTAGCACCAATGGAATTAGGTTATTTCAATGGCATTTTGGCCTCACTGTTATTGTTGAAAGTTTGAATGACTATGGGACAAGATGCTGCTGGTTCTATCATCTGTGTTTGTATATGGCAGCACTCACAGAAGCATCTTTGTGGTCCGGGATGATAATTAAGAGAACCTGAACCTAAAGATGTGCTGCACAGGGGATCCTATCCCTTGCATTAAAGTGTTGAGGACTCAGAGAGGAATATCTATAGAAGGAGAGAATTAAAATTTACTTGAACGTGGCACCCACCCTTGGTTCTCATCCCATCCAGAAAGCACGTATGGTATCAATATATGGGCGCCTTGGAGTTATTTGTAAGGATTCAATGTCCATATTGGATTCGAGATTAAAAGATATCTGGGTGGGGTGCATTTGAGAGCAGAAAGAGAGGCAAAAGAGTTCTCAATTATGTTTTAACTTCTCTTTCTTCCATCTCTAAATTGGGTTTGCAGTTGGGGACTTTGTGTTCCAAGTTTTTCCTTCACAACTACTTTTAACCATGCAAGCAAGTTATAGGTATCAACAAAAATGTTTAGTTGCATCATGATGAAACATTCAAAAGAGAATTTTACTTGTTCATTTAAAGCTCAAAATACTGATTCTCAGTGTGATTCTTAACCGTTTAGTACTAAAAAATTTTAGAAATTAATTTAGTGATTGAAATACTATTTGCTTACATAACATCAACCAATTCAAATCTGGCATCAATTTTCTCGTGCTGATGACTGTGTAGAAGACGAGAGGTACTCAAACCATTCACATGAACGCAAAACATAGACCAATTCCAAATGATTTGCAATTTTGCACCATATTGACTTGAAAATTCCATTGAAATGCCAATAAATTTTCCAAAACAAAATTCTCCCTATGAAAATATGGGAACCGTCTAAACACTGTTATACCACCAAGAACAATTGAGAGTCATTGAAATGCAGGAGGATCCATCCCACTGAGTTGTTTCACTAGAACTTGTGGCAAAAACCTCAGATGATAGGCAATGCTTTCCTTAAACAAGATCCACAGCCAGCTTCCTGTGTTATTTTGATGCAAAGTGATTGAGAAAAATCTGTGAATTCTGTTTTACTTTTTTTTTTTTTTAACTTTCAAACTTCTCACGAGAATGACAAGCTAGGATTGTCAGAGACTGAGGTTTATGACTCACCTGTTCACACCGCTCAGAGTTTTGGAACATCAAAGACATATCCCACCTTCCCTAGATTCTGTAATTCAGCAATCAAAAGTCATGCACATTCAAAAGAAAGTACTTTTCAAATTGATCTCGCCCAAACTTCAATCAAGTGTAACTTTCATCATACTTAAAGAAAAACCATTTGAAGCAACTGACAAAAAAATGGCAGTTTTTTCAGTAGCCTTCAGTTATTGCAAGAAAGATTTCTTATGGCTTTATTGAGTAGGGTGAAGCTTCATGGCAAACCAGACTATTTGTCTCCGCTCATGGAATCTCCCACTTACAAAAGGAGTTGTTTTAGACTTCTGATCTATAACTAAACAAGAAGAAATCAATTATAGCAGTGAATTCAACAAATTTGAGCTTGATGGAGAAAGCCATGCCAGTTTTAAGAACCCAACATCAGTTGACTTGGGACAGCAAAAATAAAGAGAGAGAAACAAAGAAAAGAAATACAGAGCGACCTGAGGGAAGCTGATGCCACAACCCAACAGAACTACTAACTGGAAGATGATATGTTCCTTTGCAAGAAAGGAAAAAAGCCAACTGAACAAGCACTTCAACCAGCCATTGTTGCACGGGCTGCTCCTAATGAAAAAAATTAC